TCGGAAAAATGGCTACTTAAGCAACATGCATTGAAACATAATTTTCATGCCAGGTAGCTTAGAATATGCGCAAAATATGGCTTTCTATAATATTTGATAGCATAGTACGTTTTCTTCAGATGATGATGAAATGATAGTTTTGTGGGTTTCAAAGGGCTTCCAGTTAGGAGATATTTAAGGATCGTAAAATTTAAATTTACAAAACCTTGTATCCGTCCATTTCTAAATGCTGCTGTTCAAATTGAAGACGAAAATCAGGCCAACTACAATCACCGAACCTGAGCTGTTGGATTTTGCTATAACAATTGTAAGAATCCCAATCAAAATGAGCTGCGTTGTATGGATATTTAATAAACAGCCCTAACGGAGGTTGCAGCAGCTAGGATGCCTGTTAGATAACTTATTCTCGTAATAAGGAAAGCAAACGTTCAATATGGAGACCTACCCTCTTACAGTCCTGCAGTGGGGACGGATTCTGCAGCGTCCGTTTCCAAATTGTACATTTCAGCAGAGCTTTCCTCTGCATCCATTATAAAATAAGATGGACATTATCATAAGCATATAATGTAACAGAAGGAAATGCCTCCCTCCCACCATTAAAGTTACCACATACCGCCGACCGAAGTTGTCACATATCCTGCCACTGATGGGATACTGTATCCGCCACCATGACCTTGTCCATCCGGTAAAACATAGGCCCGTATAGTGAATTTGTACTTCGTGTTCGCTTGCAAGTGTGTAACAAACAGCTTGAGACTGTCGGCTTTGGTTCTGATGTCTTTTGCTGCATCTGGGTCATCGTTGGGTGCCATAGTAACATTATAGTGACCGAGGACTCCCTGTATGTTTTTTTGGTTTCGTCCACTCAAGCAACATCATGTGTTGCCCAAGGGCAATAGCGTATTTATAGGTTGGTTTCTCAGCGGCTAGAATAGAAGGGAAAGTAGTATTTCACTGTGAGTCATGGAACTTGAAATATTTAGGCCCAACCCCTTACGTAGAGGTGAATTTGCGTTAAATGTCAGAAATGGCAGCTGCATCGTTGTTCTAACCCTGAACCGTCAGGCCTTATCCCGAACTGTGCACACAATCTTAAACCTTGACTTATTGGTAACCTTAACTTTAGTCTTACGCAGCCCTCAACACCAAGACCCATATCTGTTT